CCGAAGGTCCCAGTGGGTGTGCCCGCATGCGTCCCGCACACCCATTTCGGCACACCCCTCACACGTTTCGTGGCCCCATAGGGAGCTCCACCGAAGGTCCCAGTGGGTGTGCCCGCATGCGTCCCGCACACCCATTTCGGCACACCCCTCACACGTTCCGTGGCCCCATAGGGAGCTCCACCGAAGGTCCCAGTGGGTGTGCCCGCATGCGTCCCGTCGTCTCTCTGCCCAGCGGCAAGAGCCTTGCCCGCTATCAGCCAGCCAGCTAGCTCTTTTTGCTCCGCGCAGTGGACGACCCGCGCGCGTCGCTGGGACCCCTCCGGGGCGACCTGCGCGCGTCGCGGGGACTCCGCGCTGCGCTGCGCCCGCAACCTTGGACTTTTGAGTGCGCGGGCAAAGAGGGAGTAAAGGAAGGGGAGGAAGCGGGCGCGATCCTCGCCGGTGGGCGCGCCGACATTGGCGTCGCGGCGCGCGGGCGATGCCGTCGGGGAGTCCCGGGGAAGCTCCTTGCGGCGGCCACGCCCAGCGTCACGAGTACTCAGAGGCAGACATTGTCAAACTATTGACATTCATACACAATTGCGCCACGCTTTGTCATATTCGCATTCATGCACGTAGACTCGTTCGCACGCAGATTCATTCACAGTCAGACGCACGCGCGCAGATTCACCCGCGCTCAGTCTCCCTACGTACTCAGATCAATCGTTTTCGTTCGCGTTGTGTACCACGCCACTCATGTCGGCACACCCCTAGCACGGTTCGTTGCCTCATAGGGATCGCCACCGAAAAAGTGAATCACTATTGCGGTACTCACACCTGTATATGGTTGGGTCCCTCGTCAGGCTAATTCTCGAAGGTCTCATTGTCTGGTTCTGCTCTCTGAGCAGCCATCTGCTTGAGCAGCTCTGCTTCAGCAGCTCACCTTGAGCAGAGAGAGATAGTGAGAGAAAGAGGAGAGAGGGAGGGAGGGAGAGAGAGAGAGAGAGAGAGAGAGAGGTGAGACTCTCTCTCTCTCTCTCTCTCTCCCGCCGTGCGCTCCTCTGAGGTTTATTATCGTCGGCAGTTGTTTTATCATCGGCTGCGGTTTATTATCGTCGGCAGTTTTTTATCATCGGCAGTGGTCAATCGCGACTCCTGAGCTCTCCTGGAAGACGGCGGCACGCCAATGATACGCATTTTTTGAAAAACTTCATTTTGAAAAAAAACAAAAAAAACTTTTTTAAATTGCGAATTCCATTGTAATCCTTTCAAAATTGCGAAATCGAGCCGTCAGGCGCTTGAATGCCACATTGCGTTCGAGATTTAAGCACGCGACGCATTTATGAGAAATTTGCGTCGCACGCGCTTTTGCCCGAATATCGAACGCAGTGTGGCATTCAGGCGCGTGCGGGTTCGAATTCGCAATTTCGAAAGGATTTCAATGGAATTCGCAACCAAATATAATATTTTTAGTCAAAATAAGGTTTTTCAAAAAAATGCGCGTCATGAGAAAATTGCGTCGCACACGCTTTCGCCTAAATCTCGAACGCAGTGCGGCATTCAAGCGCCTGACGGCTCGATTTCGCAAATTCGAAAAGATTTCAATGGAATTCGCAATTAAATTTTATTTTTTTTTTCAAAATGAAGTTTTTTCAAAAACATGCGTATCATTTGCGTGCCGCCGTGTTCCCGGAGAGCTCAGGAGTTGCTATCGACCACTGCCGATGATAATAATACCTTAAAAGGTTGTGCTGAGGGGTTGTGCTGCAGGGTTGTGCTGGAGGGTTGTGCTGGAGGGTTGTGCTGGAGGGTTGTGCTGGAGGGTTGTGCTGGGGGGGTTGTGCTGAGAGAGAGAGAGATAAAAAAGAGATAAACATATTTTTAAAATAAGAAAGATATAACACATTTCGCAGAAAAATAAAAAAACTTATAATAAAGAAGAAGAATAATAAGAAGAAGAATAAGAAGAAGAGAAGATATATAGAAAGAAAGACAGATAGAGGAGGAGGAGGAAAAGCAAAATTTCAAGTTTCAAATCCATCAGATTTTATTTAGAAACGCTTTATGAAAATTGAGAAAGAGAGAGAGAGAGAGAGAGAGAGAGAGGAGATAATGAAAAGCAAGAGAGGAAGGAGAGGAGGAGAGGAAAGGAGAAGACAGGAGAGGAGCAAGAGGAGAGAGAGATAGAGAAACAGAGAGAGAAAAAAGACAGAGAGGAAATAAAAAAAACCTATCAGATTTTCCATGGATAATCAACCCCAGGGATAAACAAGTTCAGGGGGGCATGGGGGGGAGAGAGACAGAGAGATAGAAAGAGAGAGAGAGAGAAGAAATAATGAAAATGAAGAGGAGAAGAAAAATTCAAGAGGAGAAGTAGAAGAGGAGAGGAAGAGGAAAAGCAAACATTTCAAGTTCCAAATCTATTATATTTTATTTACAAACGCTTTATGAAAATTGTTTTTTTTTCCGTGCTCGTGTAGGAGCTCATGTGCCTCACTTTCCGTGGATAATCAACCCCAGGGATAAACAAGTTCAGGGGCGCATGGGGAGAGAGAAAGATATAAAGAGAGAAATAAAGAAAACAAAGAGAGAGTTGAGGGAAATACATAAAAGAAATATTAAAAAGGAAAAGGACAAGAAGAAATGAGGAGGAGAAGTAGAAGAGGAGAGGAAAGGAGGATAAAACAAAAAACTGAAGATTCAAATGTATTAAATTTTTATTTACAAGCGCTTTATGAAAATTAAAATTTTAAGTGCTCGTGTAGGGTAGCTCATGTGCCTCACTTTCCGTGGATAATCAACCCCAGGGATAAACAAGTTCAGGGGGGCATGGGGAGAGAGAGAGAGAGAGAGAGAGAGAGAGAGAGAGAGAGAGAGAGAGAGAGAGAGAGAGAGATAAATAAAGAAATATATAAAGAAATAAAAAATATAAATTAAGAAAAAAGAAGGAGAAGAGAAGAGGAAGAAAAAGAGCAACAATTTCAAGTTCCAAATCTATTAGATTTAATTTACAAACGCTTTCTGAAATTGTTTTTTTTTGAGTGCTCGTGTAGGGTAGCTCATGTGCCTCACTTGCCATGGATAATCAACACCAGGGATAAACAAGTTCAGGGGGGCATGGGGAGAGAGAGGAAAAAAAGAAAGAAATAAAGAAACATATAAAGAAATAAAATATAAATTAAGAAAAAAGAAGGAGAAGAGAAGAGGAAGAAAAAGAGCAATCCTCGAGTATATGCTTGTTTCGCTTGAGACATCCTCGACAAGCTTCTCGAATCGCTTGAGACATCCTCGCAGAATTGCTGGTTTCGCTTGAGACATCCTTGAAACATTGCTCGTTTCGTTTGAGCCTGCCTCCCAAAATTCTTGGTTTCGCTTGAGACATCCTCACAGAATTGTTGTTTTCGCTTGAGACATCCTTAAGAAACATATCGTTTCGCTTGAGACATCCTTCAGTATATGCTTGTTTCGCTTGAGACATCCTCGAGTATATGCTTGTTTCGCTTGAGACATTCTCGACAAGCTTCTCGAATCGCTCGAGACATCCTCGAGTATATGCTTGTTTCGCTTGAGACATCCTCGACAAGCTTCTCGAATCGCTTGAGACGTCCTCACAGAATTACTGGGTTCGCTTGAGACATCCTTGAAACATTGCTCGTTTCGTTTGAGCCGGCCTCCCACAATTCTTGGTTTCGCTTGAGACATCCTGAAAAAAAGTGTGATCGCTTCGCTTGATGTTGCTATTTCAACATAACTTGATTTTGCTATCTCAACATAACGTTCCGAGGTGATAATGAAGTTTGGCCTCCGCGCCCCGCGCCCCCGACCAAACTCTTATTGGTCGACGATAAAAAACTCGAACGACTTAAGGGGGGGTACATTATTATCGTGGGCATGGGGTTACTAAGTTTGAGATGGGTTGGGAGGCCCAACCATAAGTTTCGCCTAAGGCGAAAGCCGTGTCCAACTCTGTTATACCGTACTCGCGGTCGTCCCAGAAGTAGGAGATCGTCGCGTGAGCGACGGGCCAGGTCAAGCGAAAATGTTTTCGGTCCCAGCGGGAAGTAGTATGCCTCGCGATGAAGCGCACACCCATAGGTTGGCGGCCGGCCGCTTGAGCACAAACGGCCGCGGACAAACGCTCGCTATCTCTCGCCTTTGCCCCAATCTCCCTTAGAGTTCATAAACAATTATTTGACTTCCTTTGGATGGTTCCACATTGCCCCAGAAACCGCCAAGACGACTCCCAAGAAACCCCCAACAAGAAAACAACCGACCCAATCACTGAAACAAGATGTGAATAAGGTCTGTCAGCGAAGCAAGACGGCCCAAGAGGCCCCACAATGAGCCGCACGACTGGCCAGGAGCGCCCCCAGACGACCTCAGTGACGTCCATGACAGCTCAAGAGGGCCCAAAAAGGATACAAGAGGAAGTCGAACTGATATTCTGAACCCCCCGCCCCGCCCCGAACGCTGGGGCCGCCAGCAGGCCCCCAAGAACCCACCAAGTGGTCCCAATAGTCCAGCAACAACTAAAAGCCAACAAGTGGTCGGCGATGCGGCGTAAGCCAATGAATGCACGTCCGGACTGCAACGAAGCGTCACTGTAGTCCGACTTGACGGGTGTGTGACACCATGGCCACGTCACGATGCATCAAAGAAGCCCATGCGCGATCCACCGTCATAATTACCCTTTGCCCCTGAACCCCTCCCCAAAACCTGCGCCGAGTCGCCGACCCGTTTCCGCGCATCCTACAATCTCGTAGACACGCGAACCCCAACCCTAAGAAAACCACTGATTTGAACTTCGTGGGCTTCCTACGGAAAATCACGAGAGACCAAGACGCCCGACCGATTCCAGATCCGTCGATCCCCATAAGCGGCTTCCTAGAATGAACTCCTTACAGACAAGCTTTCAGGGGCCTGCCCTGGCGGTTGCTTCCAGCTCGCCCTCACTGTCCCCATCCTCTGCGCCCTGACCCCATCATCCAACTCCTATTGTTCTCCCCCCTCTTCCGCGCTGCATCTTCCTCGATGTAGACGTTCACGCCTTCGGTGAGCCAGTCGCCGAGCTGTCCCATGACCTGCAGCTGGGACGCTCTGAGATCTCTACCATGTGCAGCCAAACCATACCACCCGCGACCCACCCGCGACCCACCCACATTGCTTTGACGAAAAATTTGGCGCCTGCGGCGAGTTCGTTGCAGAGCTTGCAAAGATTAGGCGTCTGCGGCAGGCTTCTTCAGAGCCTCGCAGACTGCCGACGTCACCGCCGCTCCCTCACTCTCATCCGCAGCTGTGGGGTAACTCGTTCCTTTGATTGCATGAAGGCGACAAGTGCCACTGTGGACTGGGCCGCAGGGCCAGCGGAGAAGCGCCGACTGAAGGATAGGGGGCCATGCGCGACCAACAGGAACACGAGGTGGAACAAACCTCTGATACTTGGAACTTCTTCTCGGGGGGCAGAACTGCGAGACAATAGTGGGATTTTTTTACGTCGCCGCGCGGCAGAGGCAATCCGCTCGCGCGCAATAAACAACACCGCGACATAGAGAATAATAACGGAAGCAAGGTGAGTCGCAGATGGAGGCAGAGCGCTCGGCATATACAAGCACGGCAGACGAGATGCGCGGATACCAATAGCGCGGTATACGCTAGTGAGGGCTTCCATGTAAACGACCTTTCACGGGACTGAATGCAGCCAAAAACACTGCGGGGAAGGAAACATGAACCCGAGTGACAGACCCCACATGAGAGTTGTTTAGCTTGCCTGAGGATATCCTCTTGCTCCCTCCTCCTGCACCCTCCTGCCTCTCCTCTTGCCTCCTCCTGCTGCCCTCGCTTCTTTCTGCCTCCTTTTGGTTGGCCAGACCTTACGCTTACGCGTGTTGCGTTCTTTTTCTGCCTCCTCCTCCTCCCCATGCCTCCTCCCCATGCCTCCTCCTGCCTCCTGCCTCCTCCTGCCTGCTGCTGCTGCTGCTGCCGTTCCTCCTCCTCCTCCTCCTCCTTCTCCTTCTCCTTTTCCAACTCTTCCATTTCCTCCTCAGCCTCGTCCTAGTCCTCCTCGTCCTCGTCCTCCTCCTCGTCATCCTCCTCCTCGTCCTTATACTCCTGCCTCCTTCTTCTCCACTTTCTCATCCATTCTCCTCCTCCTCCCCCTCCTCGTCCTCCTACTCCTGCCTCCTTCTTCTCCACTTCCTCATTCATTCTCCTCCTCCTCCTCCGGCCTCTTCCTCCTCCTTGGGCCTCCTGCCTCCTCGTGGGGCCTCCTGGGGGCTCCTTCGTCCTCTCTTCCTCTTCCTCCTCCTGTGCTCAAGTGCTAAATATACATGATAAAACTTGCACATGGCCCGTTCGGATTGCCAACATGAAATGCGGGCCCCATAGGGCGGGGGCTCCCACCTGAGACTTCTTCGCAATTCACTCACACACGAGGCCCCCGCCTGAGACATCCTCACGACTTGCCCCCTGGGGCACCCAAGTGCCCCAAGGGGGCAAAGCGTGAGGATTACTAACATGAAATGCGGGCCCCATAAGGAGGGGCTCCCGCTCGAGACCTCCCTCAAGATAAGCATGTGTGTATGGTGGTGATGAGTGGGTGATGGTGATGATGCTGATGGTGTTGATGCTGGTGATGCAGATGATGATGCCGATGGTGATGATGCTGCTGCTGCTGATGATGCTGCTGATGATTATAATGATGACGACAGCGATGATGACGACGACGATGTTGCTGCTGATGATGATTATGCCGATGATCTGATTTTGCTGCTGACGATGTTGATGTTGATGGGGGTGGTTGTGGTGCTTCTGCTCCTGATAATGATGATGATGATAATGATGATGATGATGACGATGATGATGATGAGGATGATGCTGCTGCTGATGATGATAATGATACTGATACTGATGATGATGATGATGCTGATACTGATGCTGATGCTGCTGATGATGATGATGAGGATGATGATGATGATGCGTAGGTATGTGAGTGTGCGAACAGGGAGGAGAGAGGGGAGAGGGAGGAGGAGATCCTGCGACGGGGGTTCACAGAGAATATCACTCCGACGCAAAGACCCCGCATGATAATATGTATAGCTTGCCAGAGGACCCCCTCTGGGCCACCTCCTCCTACACTCTCCTGTTTTCTCCTTCTCCTCTTGCCTCCTCCTCCTTCTCGTCCTCATCCTCCTTCTCGTCCTGCCTCTT